CCCTTTTAAGCAGATTTTCAGCCAAAGAGAAGGGGATTCGAGTTTTAGAGAGACAGAGCGATTCCTAGAGAGAGAAAGCGACGAACAAGAGTCTCCAAGTGCCCTAGCTTGATCTTCAACACCATTGGAGCTTGGCTTGAGCTTGAAGAAGTGCCGATTCAACGTCCAGGAGCAGAAATCCATCTTCACAGTATGATTTCCGCGTCTGATTCTGCTTTTGCTTCTCTCTCCATGGAGTAGTTCTCCCATTCATCTGGGTGTGGGAAACCCTAGTTCTGTATGTTGGGATTGATTGTATGAACCCAAGTACTGTTTCTATGAATTGATTATATTCGATTGAGGTTTGAATGATTGAATGGCATGAATCCTGATCAAATTCCTGTTGTTTCTGCTTTAACCTAGAATGATAATATCTGCCTAGGTTGATAGAGTGCCCTTAATCGAAGGTAGGGAATTGGTGACTTTAGTCGAGGAGCCAATTCACTATTCTGTACCGAATTCAATTCGGTAGTGGAGGTTTTGTTCATAGGGCCTCAATCTGTTTACTCCGGTGGAGGTTAGTCGCCCGCTAGAGACTCAGATTGAGAGGGTCTGAAGACCTTTAGTCAAGACTTCAGACTGTTTGAGAACCTTCCGCAGTATAACTATCATAGAAATTGAACTTGGTAATTACAATCCGGCTTAACTGCAGACTAGGGGGAACCATATCCGGGTGACCTCTCTTAACCTGAAAACAACCGTTTAGTTGCTTTGCTTGCTTGTTAGTTTAGACCTTCACTAAAGTTTCATTGCTAGATAATACGAATTCACTGAGTAGTCATCACATCTAGGACCCGGGTTGACATTAAAACCCAAACCCGCTATACTACGCTTTAGGAAGTGGTTTCACTTGGCCATTTTCTAGAGTGACAGTAGGAGTGAGTCAGAGCTTGCTAGGTTGTGCACATCTAAGCAAACCTTGGATTTGAAGTGTGAGGTGAAGATGGGTAATTCAGGGTACATAGTTGATCTCCAAACAAAGACATGTACTTGTGGGTATTGGTCTCTGAGCAGTTTGCCATGTTGCCACGCTGTTTCAGCAATCACACACCTGAGGAAGGATGTGGACGACTACGTCCATGTTTCATATCATGTGAATCATGTGAGGGAGGGCTATAAGGTTGGCATCCCTTGCTTGGATGGAAGACAGGCATGGCCTGAAGCCACTGGTTATCCAGTATTCCCTCCCAAGCAAAGGGCGCAGCCTGGAAGGCCAAAGAAGAACCGGAGGAAAGCTGCTCACGAGCTTGAGGTTCGACCTCAAGCTCATGGAATTGGTGAAGAAGTGTCAAAGAGGGGAACTGTCATCCACTGCAGCAAGTGTGGAGCTGAGGGGCATAATGCACGGACCTGTAAAGAGCCCGTTTCAAATGCTGCCCCCGAGAGACAAGTGAATGTGATTTAATTTTGTCTTGCACCATGTGATTTATATTGCTGAACTTGATTTATATTTCTGAATGTGATTTACTTTTTTGGAAAGGGAAACACAATTACAGCGAGGAGAACTCGCGGTTCAACTGCTCAGCCAACGCCACAGCCAACTGCTCAGCCAACAGCTCATAACACCGGAAAGAGGCCAAGGGTGGTCATTGCTCGAAGTGTGGTTCAGCGACCCACAATGCAAGAACTTGTCCCATAAACCAAGGGAGTGGAATACAGGTATATAAGATTGTGTATGAATCGATCGACTTGTTGTGAATAATGTGATTATGATTTTTCTGCATTATGTAGCATGTGAGGTTAAATGTTGGTGATCGAAGGACAATTGCACGCGAGATGCGAGTTGCAACAGCTGGAATCGGTGTGTATGTGAATGAGACCACTGGAAATACATATTTTAGGGTAAGACTAGTGGTTTATACTCATTTGTTGCTTTTAAATTGTTGTGTACGTTGTTGATTCCATATTTGTTCTTCCAGCTGAACGGAGCAAATGGTCGTCCAGTGGGTGGAAGTCAGCCAACAGTGGTGGATGTCCAAGGAAGTCAACCACCTGTCACACAACCTTAGAAGTTGGCATATTGAGTCGATTTACTTTTGCCAGCCCCCATGTAATGACTTCCATAAAGGAAGCTTTGAAATCGACTCATGTAACTAATGGGGCACTTTGTTAGGATTTGTAAGTTAAAACATCTTGTAATCCAGGAATGGTTATGTTCTATAATGGGGCACTTTGTTAAGCTTTGTAAGTTAAAACATATTGTAATCCAGGAATGGCTAGTTAACTTTGTGTGAATGGTTATGCAGTACTCCTTTGTAGTAATCAGGAATGGTTATTGAGGAAAAGTCATTGCAACTACCACTTCATTTCCAACATTATGGACATTAAACAACATTCTGGAATTATATTGTTCTTGATCGTACTACTTAAAAATACCAAATTGAAGATAGCATTACAGTTATATTGTTCAACCATTCTAGAGCAAACCCTTGGATCGGCGGCGGGCAGCAACCTCTTCTCCAGCGCAGCCGATTAGAATGGTTCTCTAGGAACCCTAATTCGAATTTGAGAAAAAGGGGGTGGAGGCGCCGCCGGGGACGCGACTAGGGGCGCGGTGAGGGCTGCTGTCGGAGGGAACCCTTGGATCAGCGGCGGGCAGCAACCTCTTCTCCAGCGTAGCCGATTAGAATGGCTCTCTAGGAACCCCAATTCGAGTTTGAGAAAAAGGGGGTGGGAAGGCAGCCCTCGACTGTAGGGTATAAGGGGGGGGGGGGGGGAATTGCTGACATGGCGTCCACGTGGAAAAATTTGCTGACCTGGAGCTTAGGTGGGAGATGGGTATGGTCCTACTCACTGTTCCGTTACATTTACTGACACCGTAACAAACAGCGTTAAAGTTTGTAACGGAAATGGATAGATTTGTCACACGATAGTACAATTTTCTGGGTATTTCGTGTATTTCGATAGTTATGGATATATTTGTCACAAACGTGAAAGTTATGGATATATAAGTGTATTTTGCCAAATCTATACTATAAGAAACAACATTTTTCATGTAAAAATAGGATGCAGGTCATACAGGTGACCCGCAATCCACCCACCCACCCACCCACATAACTGCGGGTGAGAGATTTATCAATCCGCAATCCACCCACATCAATCACCCACTGCATATGGGTCGGGTTATTTGCGGGTGGATCGATCTCAATCCGTGGATTAACCACCCACGTGCCCACCCCTAACGATAATAATGAATTTCTTAGAGCATCCACACTAAGCTATCGTATTCAATTGCAAAGTGACATTACAATAGAAATTCATTGCATTTTTAATTGCATTGATGGGAGGAGGAACCACAATGGGCAGGTCCGGGGCGGGTTTCTTGGTACCTAGATCCGTCCCGTGACAGGTCGGGTCCAGATCGGGTAATTTATCACGGGTCGTGGGTCCGGGCAGGTCGACCCAATGAGTATGCAACTTATATGAAAAACATTAGAAATATTCGTTACTTTTATTATAGGACCAAGAAAACAAACAATATTATAATACATATAGTTAAATTATTTGAGAAATTGAGGTTTTCACTAATTTATAACTTTATTATAGCTAAAACATGATGTAATAAAAGAAAATTTCTAAATAATTTGAGTAAGATTACATGTAATTTAGGCAAGAATAGGTCGAGAATGGGGCGGGTTAGGGCAGGTCGAGTCAATGAAAGTACCCATACCCATACCCGCCCCGCCCCGCCTACAAGGCAGGTCGGACCCGTCCAAAACAGGCCAAACAGGTCGAATACTATGGGTTAGATCAAATTACCATCTCTAGATGGTATTCTCAATTGCAATAACACAAGCTACCATTTCTTGCAATTCCCTTTTTGATTCTACATAGCCATTCATGAATTTTTATTATTTTATGTATGGATAGAATAATAAACATATAAACCATTTATTTTATTAAAAAATAGTTGTGCTCACATATGCAATTGTAAGTTAATAATTATATTGATATAAGTAAATGAAAGTAATGTGAGTTGGATTGCAAAAGAATTGAGGTAAAAAATAAAAAGCACAAAAATAATTGTTTTTACAATTGCATTGATGAGGTCATGTGGATACTCTTATTAGTGATAAGACAAAACGATAAGAATTGACTAAAAAGGTGGTTTGTGTTCTTAATTTTTCTACATGAAAAACCCATAATTTTTTTTTCCGGTCCCGAGTTGAAAGCACCTGAGTATTGTTGTAATATGTCAAAGCGGATAATATCTTGATCATAAAAAGTTGAGATGTTACAAGTAGTATCAAAGCCTTTTCGTGTCCCACTTAAGCAATGGTGCGCGGATCTCAACGAGAACATTGAGGCCCAAAGGAAGTGTACTTAACACTTTATGTAAATTCCACGTCAACAAAATACGAGAAAAATCCATACATAATTCATAAGGCCCATCCAACTTTAATTGATAAGACACTTTGAACAAAATAGAGAAAAACAGTCTATCTATATCTAACGTAGAGAAATACAATATATTCGTTACAATAGCATCATCGACACACTTCACGTCCGTGGAAGAGTAGCATATCCTTCCTCCAAACCTAAAACCGAAAGAAGAACGAAAAGTAGTTGCGTCCATTACTATTCTCATAAAAAAAAAAAAAATCCAAGTGGACAGCCATATTTAGTTCTCTTGCCGGATCATCGTGCTTCCTTCCTTACTTTCGTTACATAACTCTCTCATCCCATCCCCATGAAAGCTTAGACCTTTCTCCTCCAAAGCTACCCAATCCCCTGCCTCCCCCATCTGGTCATTATCTTTCTCTTCTTTGGGTTTTCAACAAAGTTGCCGTCTTTTGAGTTTCGTAGCTTCTTTTCACCTTTTTTTCTTGTGGGTATGTATGTTTTCGCTTTTGTCCTTCTTCTTTGCTTGGACGAATTAGTAAAAATAAAAAATGTATTTATTTTTTGGGTATATAAAGAATCCCACTTTCATTAACATGAGAAGAGAACCCCCGCTCCCCCTTTTTTTTGGCTAGCAGGAGGGCGGGTCGTCGTGCATCTAATTTTTTTCACGTCTGGAGCTCTGACGCAGCTCTCCCCCCCCCCTCTCTATACGCAGAAGAGAAGAAACGCCATGGAGGTTAGTTAGTCAACCAGCTTCTCTTCTTCTTCTTTAGCTTTCCATCATCACCGTGGCGAATGTGGCTTCTCTTTAGCTCACGGTTTTATTATTACACATGGTGTTTGGGTGGAATTTTCTTGTCTTTTATGGGTGGTTGATGTTATAAGTTGGGATCGTATCGAGGATTTCCCCCTGCTGCTGCTTCTCGTTTGCTTGTTGCTTTAGCTCTATGAACATTGTTTCAGCTTCTTCTTCTCCTCCTCCTCTGCAGGTAGTTCCCCGTTTCTGATTCGTTGCGTTTCCGCTTCTTGCTTTGTTTTTTGCTCTCTTGTTGTGTGTTGGTTTGTTTGTTCGTGTGATGTCTACGTTTAAGCCGAAATGGATCTACGGAGTGGAGGGGATTGGTTGATTTTTGGGGTTCTGGGTTGGTGACGCTCGAAGCTCTTTAGCTTTCGTTATTTGTCACGTTGGTGGGGGAGATCGAGGTTGGGAAGAGATCGAATATGCCGGCCGCTTGGCGGAGAAGTGCGTAATTCCTCTGGTGTTGAGGTATGATCATGGAGGTTGTGTGTTGAAATCTGGATTATGGGTCTTGTTCAAGTGATGGGGAATTTGCAGGTCTTGGTTATGTGGATTCTGCATTTTCCCTGTATTTGGTTGGGGCTGGAATAGCTTCCTTCTAGGTTTGTACCTCCAGCTCCTAGGCTGGAGTTCATGTCAATAATCATGGAGTTGTCCTTGTTTTATGATTACATTGTGTCTTTCAAGTTGGGGAAATTCCTCAACTTCTTAGGTGTCTGGTAAGCTACCTTTCATCTGTCTTCCCCCAAACTGCAGTGTTTCACGTTCTCAAGTTATCCACATTTCGGACATGCTTTGGGATTGTTGTCTGGCTCGTGTTGGATCGCCTATTCTCTAGTTCTTTTGGTGATAGATTCAATCTGTAGCAGTTGCTTCTCCTGTTTCCAAACAATTTCATACTTTTTTTAACATCACAGTTAGTTGTTGCCAATGGGTGTCTTGAAGCTTATTGTTTGGCCATTATCTGCTTGAAGTATGCTTTTATATCCCAAAGCTTGCTCACTGTGGTCTCTAGGGATTAAGCCCTTCTGATCCTAAATGCTTCCTGGTCAAGAATCCATTTGTTATTATGCTGCAGCTTATGAAAACTCCACTTCTCATTGTTTGAGTTGGTGTTATGAACTTCTCTAATTACCTCAACCATTTGCATGGTTTCTCTTTTTAAGTTAAGCCTCTCATGTTAGTGCCCATAATCTCTTCAGATGGAGTCTACTCAACCGGATCAAGATAATTGTCTCGTTAAAGAAACTGATGTTGAACAGTTAGTATGTGCTGCTGGCTCTCTGAACATATGTGGTGTATCTGGATATCCAAGCCTAAGTCCTAGAATTGGCGACGACTATCAAGTGAAAATCCCTCCATTGGAATCACAGTCAGAAGCCATATCAGATGCTTCACTTCGTTTTCTAGGTCTCCCCATCTCAATCATGCTAATTCATGATAAAATAGATAGCAGGGCCGAGAAGGAGTTGAGACTACTGGGCGATTGTGGCAATGCAAAGACGTCCACCAAGTCCGGAAAAAGCAAGAAGCATAATAATGCAACTGAGAAAACCGGTTCCAAGCTGAAGGATGAGCCACTGGATGATGATAGATCAGTACATTTTGAGAAGAAGCGGAAGGCACTCGATAAGGCTGGTTCAAAACTGAAGGATGAACCACTTGATGATGAATCAATACATTGTGAGAAAAAGCATAAAACAAGTGAGAAAGTTGGTTCGATGATAAAGGATGACCTGCTTGATAATGGACCATCAGTCCCCTGTGAGAAGAAGCATAATGCAATCAAGAATGTTGGTTCCGAACAGAAGGATGTACAGATTAATGATGCATCATCAGCCCATTTTGAGAAGAAGCATAATTCAATCGAGAAGGTTGGTTCAAAGCTGGAGGATGAATCACTCGATGAAAGATCAGTTAAACCACAGAAGGGAAACTCTGAATGCGGAAGCAAAACATATTCATTTGTCCCTGGATCACTGGGAAGCTGTTGGAATGGAGATGAAGTGGAGAGTTTTATCCTTGGTTTGTACATTTTTGGTAAGAGTTTTGTTCCTATAAAGAAATTTGTTGACACCAAAGAGATGGGAGACATATTGTCATTCTACTATGGGAGGTTCTATGGCTCTGATAGATACAAACGATGGTCTGATTGCCGGAAAGTGAAGAGAAGAAAATGTGTCTCTGGTGACAAACTGTTCACTGGATGGCGGCAGCAGGAACTCATCTCTCGCTTGCAACCTCACATCTCAGAGAGTTACCAGAAGACTTTTCAAGAGGTAACAGCATTTCTGATATTCTTTTCTTTCTGGGTGCTGCATTGTTCTTCTCCATTTGCTTGAACAAATTGGTGTCACTGGAGTCTAGGAACTTTCAGTGTGTTGCATAAGATTGAGATTTAATTGATTAGTTATCCCTTAACTGATTGTCAGATTTCTGAGGTTATGGCCGAGGGGAAAATCCCACTAGAAGACTATGCATCCATATTAAAGGCTGCAGTTGGCATTCACGTTCTAGTGGAAGCGATTGGCATCGGTAAAGGGAAGGAAGATCTCACAAACCCTGGAATGGAGTCCATGAAAACGAACCCTGCCACCACCAAGTCTTGCTCATCCCTCACCCCAAGCGATATAGTAACCCTCTTGACTGGAGGCTTCCGTTTGAGCAAAGCTCGTTGCACTGATATCTTCTGGGAGGCTGTTTGGCCTCGGCTTCTTGCAAAAGGGTGGCACTCTGAGCAGCCAAACAACCTGAATTACCTTGATGCCAAAACCAATTTAGTGTTTCTAGTCCCGGGTGTCAAAAAGTACTCGAGAAGGGATCTTGTGAAGGGCTTCCACTATTTTGACTCTGTTGCAGATGTGTTGAGCAGAGTGGCTTCTGAACCGGAGCTGCTTGAACTTCAAGGAGCTGATGAGGAAAATAAGGATGATTCGGTTGTACCTCAGTCCCGTAATTACCTCAAGCCTCGAGTCTCTAATGGCAATGCTAAGTCCATGAAGTTCACTGTCGTCGACTCGAGCTCGGTCAGTGGTGAAAGAGGAGGACTAGTGAAGGTGAAGAGGATGAGGTATTTGCCTCGTGATTTGGTGGTTACATCTATGGTTACGAGGATTTCAGGTATGAAGGGAAGCCTGTCGATTGAAGATTCTAAGGAGGAAGAGGATGGGGATGAGGAGAAGCAGAACCTGAAAGATTATGATACCATGAAGATGGTTGATGAAACCAAGACAAAAGTTGTTCCAAACACTGATAAGGTTGCAACCAGTGCTAAGTTCACCATCGTTGATACGAGTAGAGGCAAATCATCATCCAACAAGATATTCGAGCTCAGGCATTTACCATCGGGAGACAGAGTTACTTGCCGATGGATCAAACTTTCAGACGAGAATCGAAAAATAGCTCATGATGATAAAGTGGATGGTGATGGTGCATTGCATAGGAAAAACAAAATCCACGAATCTAAAGAGCTTCCTCCACAGCAAGCCAAACCGAGTTCAAACACTGTGAAGACCTCCTGCAAGGAAGGGAGCAATGTGTCGAATGGGAATCAGTCAACCAAGGATGCTGCTCCAGTACAGCAGTTCAGCCGAAGACCTAAACCTGGCCATTCGAACAACTTGGTTCCTCTAGTCAAACGTCGGAGATTGACTGCATGCATCAGCACAGAGATGAGCCATGTCACTGGGAATTGTACTACTGTTAAACTTGGAGCCAAAGAAAAAAAGATTTGTTCTGGTTTAGATTCATCAAAGACAGTGAAGAAAAACACCCTTAAAGTCATCGTCAGACCTCAACCAAAGCTATCATCATCATCATTAGCTGAAGGATGTGCTGACAAAGAATGTGGTGGTGGAGGCAATGTTTCAGACATGAAGGGTGATGAGGCAGAAGAATCTTTACCCGATTTGAACCTGCAGCCTCAAAGGCAACTGGATTCTGAACTGGTCGGGAAAACCGAATCTGTTGCTTCTGAGTCAAGAAACCTCGATCCTGGTGAAATGCCGAGTAATAACCCTGTGAGTGCCAACCCTGAATCCAGGAGGCAGAGCACTAGGAACCGACCACTGACAACCCGAGCACTAGAGGCTCTCCAATATGAGTTCCTTGATGTGAGGAAGCGGCCGAGGAGCTCACAACAAGAGGGTGGTAGTAGCTCGTCTTCTCGAAGGTCTCGAAGCAAAAAGATCAAAGTGGCATCATCATCCAAGCTTGTCGTGGTTGCTGAAGAAGAGAAGATTGAGAATTCCAGTGGAGGAGGTTCGAGCATCGAAGAACCAGCAGCTGCCATGCATCCTGAAAGCTGTAGTTCGAGATGAAATGTTAGTACTTCATCTTAAGGTGGTAGCTAGTCTTGTAGCTTTTGGGGTTGAGTTGTTAATTGGGGCTAAAAAATTGTTAATCGGATGTTTAGGAATTAGGAGTGATTGCAAGCTGCTGCTAACCCTGTGAAAAAAAGGCGCCATTGATTTGGCCGCAGCAATTGATATATACATTTTGGATAGAAAGATTAGAAAGCATAGAAGATATATGCCTCAACATTGCTCGTTTTCTTCCTTCCCAATACCTTGTTATTGAAGCAACGATTAAGACAAGCCAGTGTTTTGTCACATGATTAGTGTTTTGTCACATGATTATGGATTAGACGACGAAAAATGTAGCGATAGATGGTTGAGTTCAGTTCTTTATCACATTCTTCGAAAGAGAAGCTCTAACAAAATTTCTTCCTCGAAATTTGAAATGGAGAAAAATGATGATTTAATTGCCCACAATGAGAATGATCCTAAAGAGATTTGTTAGCTGGCTTGAATTCCAATGTTGCGATAAATACTCATACAATGAGAATCAATTGAAATGTTGTTTTGAATCGCTTATTGGCATAATCAAGCCAACAATCATATAAGTTGAAGTCACATTTATCCCAATCTCACAGAAGGTAACACTAATAGTTGGAGAAAAGTTAGGTTTGATAAAGATTTCGTCAACATCAGACAAAATAAAATAAAAGTGAATAAAATATAATTCGATTCACAAAATTTCAATTGCATAATATCTTTTTTAAAATTAAGGAGAACAAACCATACAAATAAAAATTGTACTAAACCTAATTAGACCATATGTGCCTTTCCTTTCAGACTTTTTAATTGGCAAAATCGGTTGAAGCTGGAGTAGCCAGTTAAGACCGAGTGGGATTGTAAAATGATCAAATGTGAAGACAACATTAACATCACACAGAGGGGTCAATACAATTAATTCAATCCATCCACTAAACAAATTAACTAATCCAAATCTAAATCCAAATAGATAGGTGAATTCATGGATTCGATTAATAAATCGTTAATAAATTATAGTAATATCTACATATTTCACAACATGATACCTAACTTATAATTTGTTTGATGAAAAATATTCCGAGAATTATATTTTAGTACCTATTTTTTTCATAATGAAATTTTAGTAGGGAAAGATTTTCATAATACAAGTGGTTCTGTAACAGTCCAAGGTTTAAAAACCACTTGAAAATATGAATCCATAGAATCCAACACAAACCTACAAATCAATGAATCCAACTTGCTCTCCAAAATGCGAAGATGCTTTTCCTCTGTTTATTTGGAATAACATGCAGCCTGCAATTAATCATCATACATATGTATAAATAAGCTTACAAGATACACGTCCGGAAAGAAACAAAACCCTAAAAGAAATAGCTAGAAAAGTAATCAACCCAACCATTTCAACGATTCCTTCAATGCTGCTAATTCATCGTTATCTCCCGCACCAAGCTTGACCACTTCTAGGGAGTGTGCAGCGGTTTGATTCGGTTCGATCCGGATCAGACCAAACTAAAGAAAACCGTGATCGATTAGTAAAATATATCTTAGAATCAAGGATCGAATTCATTATTGTGTTTGGTCCGGTTCGGTCCATCATTTCTTCAATAATTGTAAAACTCAAGGATCAAGGACCGGACCGCAATATACTCAGGTCGAGTGTGTTCCGGTCCAAATTTCGGTTTGATGCTTGGACCAGACCATTGCACACCCCCTAATAATTAACCACTTCCCGTCTTCCTCCTTATAAATAAAATACCAACCTCCGTACCGACTCTGCTTCCCATCCATCCATCATCTCGTTGAGCAATTAAATGGCGGATCCAAAACAAGGAGGAAGCGTGACGAAAGGGCACGAAGAAGCCATGAAGATGGCGGTGTCCCTGCTCAAGGAGTTCGGGCTGCCGGAAGGGCTGCTGCCGCTTGATGACGTGGCGGAGGCCGGGTTCGTGAAGGAGACGGGCTTCTTCTGGATCGTGCAGAGGAAGGCGACCAAGCACCGCTTCGAGTTGGTTGGCAAGCAGGTCAGCTACGACGTTGAGGTCAGTGCGTACTTGGAGAAGAACAAGGTGAGGAAGATGAAGGGCGTCAAGGCCAAGGAGCTCATGGCGTTGTGGCCTCCCGTCGTCGAGATCGTCGTCGACCATCCCCCGACGGGGAAGGTTCGGTTCAGGAGCCTTGGCGGCGTCGCCATGGCTTTCCCCGTCCATGCTTTCGCCGCCGGACAGTAGTACTACTGCCAGCCATCACTTTTTCGTTTCTTGTCTATTTAATTTCCACACGAGATTGAACACACTTGTTTAGTACTTATGTTTTTATCCGTTGTTACTCCAGCAACAAGATCGAGTTGACGACACAACATATTTTAACTTGAAAAACAGTGATATGGAATTTAAGTAATTTATTTCCTGATTTCAAAAGCAGTTTCTTATGAGGATCATATCATATCATATCAGTTGTTGTAATAATTTTATTATTATAAGGAGTTTATAACTAAAGCTCCACTATTTACATCTTTTCTACTCTATGTTTTGTCATAATTAAACTTATCATCGAAATTTTATTGCCAATATTATGTATACATTTTTCTCTCCCCTCAATTTTCTCATAACTCGTCATGCCACATTATTTTCTCACTTTTATCTTAGTCTCAACATTGATACTAAACGGATCCCAATGAAGTAGCTCAACATAAAAAAAAAAATTATCAACTTAATTTCATGATTTCTCATAATTACTTACTAAACGTGCATGTCTTTGCTTTTCATTTTCACGGTATTGTGGTTGTACCTTTGTTGTCACATCAACATTCTTGACGGAAGGATATTTTAGGAGGCCCGACCACCTACTTAATATTCCTAAAGGATGGAACAACATGATGAAGAAGGCAACGAAAGTATAGAGGAAAATATGGGAAGAGAACAAGGTGATCTCTGAAAAAGGGAGGCAAGGAAGTAGTAGAAATGTTGAAGAGGAGACAAACCGCTCTTGAACTTAACACTATGCGCGTCGCGTGCTCGATCTAGCAATCTTGAAAAATTGTTTAAATGACCGGTCACTAATCTCAAAAAGAAAGAAGAGAAAGACACCACACTATCTTTCTTCGCAACCACAACAACAACAAAAGTGTAATAAACAGGTTATTTTAGTCACATATGCGTGCGTACACATACAATAACGTGAAACATAGTGATAAACCCAATGGCGAAAATCGTACAATTCATTATTTAAGTTATATAATGAAAACAATAAATAAATAGATAGATAAAATCACAGAGTCAAGAATGTCAAACTTCTCCATTTTATCAAATACAACCCTAACAAGAAAACATTTCTTTTGTACCCTTCCAACCAAGTAAGTAAACTACTAAACTCCAACGACATGTGAACCAATTCCTTCAGCCACAACAAAGGCAGGGGAAAAAACAGAGAGAACGACAGAGGCCAACAAATTACATCATCATCATTACAAGTTACAACCTGTGATCCCCTTAAAAAAAAAAAAAAAAAAAAGGTTTTGCTGAAATTCGTCAGAAAATTATATATTTCATATAACTGGTATCTTATTACCGAAACCACAAACGATTTGATGATTGATTAAACACTGCCTCGTACTCTACGACTTGGAGAGGTCAGCAACCGGGCTCTGCTTTTGGGCCGAAACCTTACCCGACCCGAACCCGGCCCACCCGGCCGGCCGAACAGAGCACCGGAACCTGAGAATTAAATAGCAAGCAAACCGATAGAAGAGGATGAAACAAGCCATGATGGCCACATTCCGCCACCGCCCTTCCTCCCCGCCGTACCCTTCCTCCCTCAGCACCGCTTCTCCGGTGACGGAGCAAGCTCCGAGCATGGTGTCCAGACACTTCCCCTGGCTGGAGAACTCGTTAATCAAGAAGGCCTCGAAAGGGTACTTAAACAGCGACACATAGTGCATAAAAATCCAGTAATTGGGGATCCCGCCGCGGGACACGAAGTAGCCGGAGAACAAGAAAAAGGATCCCATGACCCCGGAGATGAGCGAATTCCCGACGATGAAATTGGGGACCAGAGTGCTGAAACAGAGGACGACGGAATTGGCGGTGTAGAGGATCATCCAGATGAGGAGGAGGAAGAAGGCGAAGGCTGTGAAGGTGGGGTTCAATCCGGCGAGCCAGTAGACCGGGACGGAGAAGAGGATCGACTGGATGAGGAGGAAAGGGAGGTAGATTAGGGAATTGGCGACGGCGTAGGAGGAGACTCTGTAGCTGCCGGTGGAGGTTTCTTTCTTGAAGATCTCGGTTTCTTGGAGGAAGATTGGGAGGGCTTCGGTGGTGCAGGAAAGGAGGAATGTGAGGATGAAGGCGAATAGCCCGACCTTTTCGCGCGCTCCCACCAGGTCGGATTTGACGTTGGAGAAGACGGAGCCGAGGACGAGGCCGGAGATTAGCATTTGGATTGTCCGGCAGGCGAACAGCTCTTTGGTTCTGTAGATGTTCTTCGAGAACCTACAACCATAGTAGTAAGATAACTAAATAAGTGACATATCATTGATATATGTATCAGTAATTTGTTTCTTTTCTCAACTAAATTTATGTATAATAGTGTGCTAATAGTCATAAAATATACAAAATTAATTATTATACACATAAATAAATACGTAATCTTCAATTATCAATTTAATTCATAAAATACGAGTGCTAAATGTGATACGGATATTATACGTGAGAGTCATCAAATGGACGGGAAAAAATGAAACAAACTTGAAATTAATAAGAAACTAGAAGTTTTAAATACATATAATAAAATATATATCCATATATAAGCGTATTAGTCGGAGTATTTACTCACCATGCCTACATTGCATGAGTTTTGTAAAGAGGAAAAGTCAATTAGTGTCATTGGATAACTAGTATTTGTCAGTATCCATGAAACCGTACCGTACCGCCGGTTTAACCACGAAATACCAATATTAAAGGCTAAAATGATAGTCGATATTTAACGGTACTATGGTTGAACTACAGTTAAACCACGGTTTTACCATAAAATACTATACCGCTGATTTTCCCAGTACGGTACGATTTCATGGACCATGGTATTTGTAACACTTAAAAGATAGTTTAGTGTAGTGATATCAAATATGTAATGTCAAGAAGAATGGTGTAATGTCACTGTTTTAAGGTGTATATCCCTCGACTCTTCAAAATCTCTACTTTTTCTTATTTGATTCATATGAAAATTCATGTGTTGTGCAATTGTATAAACAATTAACAAAAAAAACTTGAGAATTTAGGAGAATCTCGATTTACTTGTATGTTTGATAATCATAAAAAATTTGTTCCGTACAACCAAAAATCAATTTAATGGACAATTCCAAGCATTTTTTGTATCTCTCAAAAAAATACTGAAGTTTTGTATACCAATACGTCCAAAAACAGGAATGTAGCCTTTAATTACCATCGTGGTTTATCTTATGGTACATGAAATTAAGCCTTTAATTACCTTGAAAAATCTTAAATCGATTGTAAAATTTTTGAAAAAATTAAGAAGGTGATTAGGAACCTGTTATCAATATATCATTATAAGATACATATTATCCAGGCTCAAATATATAATTGAAATTCCTGGATTATAAAGTACAAATATCTATAAAAAAAGTGAAGATTTGATAACCAATATTTCCCATTTATCATCTAAAATCCATGTACATGTTTGGAAAAAGTTGCATGTACATTTTAAGCAAAGATCACTTGCAAATCACAAGTTACTAAAAATAAGAGAGAGAAAATAAATAAACAAACAAACCTGTGAGTAAGAATCATGGTTTCCCGGAACCACGAATTCGGGTACTGATGATAATCACCCCACAGCCCGAACTCCGAATCCTCCAACCCGATATTGATGATGGCGCTTTCCTCGTCCGCAATTCGATTGCTGTGATGTCCAACCGAAGACGCCGCCTGCAGATCGAAAAGCTGCTGCAGCGTACACTTCCCGCTCCGCTTCCCCACCGCCGCCGCCACGACGACTTCTCCTCGCTTGCAATCGCCAACCCGCTCGCGAAACGTTTCGACGGACTCCATGGCGAACTCGACTACATTGACCCGACCCGGAACCTGCAAACCGACCGCCTTCAGCCTCGACCCGAGCCCGTCCGCCGACCCGTGGTGGAGAACCGACCCGCCGGCCATGAACAGGACGGAATTGAAGAGCTTCACGATCCGGAACCCCGGCTGGTGGATACTGAGCACGATCGTCCGGCCTCTCGTCTCCGCCATAGATTTCAGCAGCCCGACGATCTGGAGCGCCGACGAGCTGTCGAGCCCCGAGGTCGGCTCGTCGAGGATCAGGACCTTCGGGTCGTGGATCACGTCGACGCCGATCGAGACCCGGCGCCGCTCCCCTCCCGATATCCCCCTGACCCGGCCCGACTCGTCCCCGACCCGGGTCCGCGCCGCGTGGGTCAGCCCGAGCTCCTGCATCAGCGACCCGACCCGGGACCCGAGCTCGGATTTGGGGATTTTCTGGAGGCGGAGCTTGGCGCTGAACATTAGGGTTTCCTCGACGGTGAGGAGGGGGAAGAGGGTGTCGCGCTGGGTGACGTAGCCGGAGATCTTGTTGAGGAACCGGCGGTCCTCGTCGGCGACTGGGGTGCCGTTGACGAGGACGGATCCCGCCGTCGGAGAGATTTTTCCGGCGAGGATTTCGAGGAGGGTGGATTTGCCGGCGCCGCTGGGGCCCACGATGGCCAGGACTTCCCAGGGCTTCGCTGTGAAGGTGACGTCGTCGAGGACGGTCTTTTTCCTTCCCCGGCCGTGGTCGTTGTCGCCGGCGAAGATGTTGGGGAAGAAGGGTGATCGCTTTTTCGCGGCGGACGGAGGCGGCGGCGGCGGGGATTTCGCCGGGATTGTGTAAGTGATCCCGGATGCTTCGATTTCGAATCCTTGTTTCTTCATTTTTTTTGGGGGGGGCGATGGGAATGAAATTCTGAGCAGATTCTCTTTTTCCTCACTTCAAGCTCTCATTGTTGTTGTTTTGCTGCTTGTGAATGATGGATGGATGAATGAATGATGTTGGGAAGTGGGCTTAATAAGGGACACTCCATTCCTTAGTGAAGTGAGAGATGGCTATGGTTCATGAAACTGGCCCAACCGAAATGCATAAGAAGCGTTGGGAAACCGGTTTGGTCGGATTGAAAAGGGTCGTGAGTGATAGGGCGAGTTAGAAGGGTACGAGCTTCGGCCAGCATTCGACGAGTAATTCCATTGTTTACTATCCGATCATATTACATCCAACCCAAAAACTTAAAGAAACCGTGTCATGAACAATTGCCGATCAATATAAATGTTGAATTATGTGACCATATTACATCGAACCAAAAAACTTTCTAAAGAATTGGATTTGGGTTAAAATGAACCGGATCATTTCGTATGGGTCCATTACTTAGGACAACACGGCCGAACCGAGTTAAGCTTGGAACCATAGGATCGTATTCCTAATAACCTAGCTTCCCTTTCTGTCCTTTTGTTGTCTTCTATGAGCAGAAGAAAAAAAGGTGTAATATTACGTTACTATGTACGAATATTGAGGTCGTCGTATTTATGAGTTATTGTGCTGACATAGAACAGTATCTTAATTAGAATATAATGGATTAGTTTGGAGTATAAGTGTGATTTACTTCTTAATATGGGTGAAATTTGAAATTTCTGTGAAAAAGTATCGGTACTAAAGATATGTTTTTCTGTAGTGAGGTAGAAAAAGGGTGTCGTTGGGTTATGAAAAACCCAATGAACAAAAAGAAAATTAGGAGGGATGTTAACAACGGCCTTTAGACAATGACGAAAGTTAATGAGTGATTAGCATGGTTTGTGATAGCATAACGGAGGTTGTACCGAGCATATTAATGAAATCATGTAACTTAGCTGAAATAATTTTCTTTTATAATTTAAGTATTATCTTTTTTTTTTGGTAGGAAAGTGGGACGCTAAAAGGGCGCCCCTGCCTGAAACTTAGATTAAACGGGTTTGGGAAATACCCAGAATGTCATACAAGATCCAAAAAGCTAAACCAGAATCCGAGACCTCAAAATCATGATAACCAATGCTACTGGTATGGCCCTTGTTGGCCAGGAAATCTGCTGCCTTGTTCCCTTCTCTATAGATGTGGGAAATCTTCACTTCCCAGCTTTTGTTAAGTAGCTCCTGGAATTGCTGAACCAGGATACAGTACCTTTGCTCCATGTGATTACTGGCGGAGAGGATATTAATTGCTGTTAAGGAATCCATTTGAAGGAGAACCTTCCTGTAGCCGTTTCTCCACGCAAGCTGGAGTCCTCGGATGGCCGCCATAATTTCAGCACGAGTTATCGTGCACACTTCGAGGTTCTCCACAAACGCTCCCATGCATTTCCCCGACCAGTCTCGAATCAGTCCGCCACCAGCAGCCGTCGATCCTGGTTGTTTCACTGAGCCGTCTGTGTTCACGCACACCCAGTCTTGAGGCGGTGGGATCCAAGCACACTGATGAGCTGATTTCTCTGTCACAGCTTCGTTGATCGCCTTGTCATCTGTTAGAGCTTGCCTGATGGTCATCGTCCAGCAACGAATCCGGTGCGCCAGCACATGATCCTCCTGATTCAAATTATGAAAAACCTTCTCGTTCCGTCTTTTCCAGAGGTACCAAGCTGCTACTCCGAATAAGAGACCTTCCTTGTCCTCCCTGAGGTGCTTGTCCAGCCATGCTGCAAAGCCAAGGCCGCACGTGAGAAGGTCATCATGGATTCCCAAATTACGCCATACCTGTTGTGAGCTCGAACAGTGACGCAGGATGTGTTCTGCTGTTTCTGCCCCGGAACCGCAAGTCGGGCAGGTGTCACTCATGGTGAGTTTCCTTCTCTTCCTCTCCGCGTTCGTCATTAGCCTGTCATGGAAAACCAACCACAAGAAATGTTTTATCCTGTTAGGGCCGGCCCATTTCCAAAGCTGCTTCCAATGCGGTTGGGCGGTCATCTCTTCTGACTCAGGTTCGTCGTCCCTCAGCCACTCCACGGCCGCCAAGTAGGCAGATCGAAGTTTGAACTTCCCATCCTGCTCCATACCCCAGGCTGTGATGTCTTCCCCCAGCCCCTCCTTAGGCGGATCAGTACCTGCAATCAACGCAACCAAATTCGGAGTTAGATGTTGCACAATCTCATTCCACTTCCACTCACCTTCGGCGGTAGCCATATCCGCCACTGTGGCATGCCAATTGATTCCCGCTCCATCACCATTAATCTGATCCCTCAGGACAATCCCCTCGGCTAGCCAAGAGTCCGTCCAAAAGTGGACATTACAACCTCCCCGAATGTCCCACACAATACGTTGCTTCAGAATGGGCCAGGTATCAACAATTCCTCTCCAAAGCCTTGAGAAGTTGCTTTTCTTCATGGTCATGACACCTGCAGCATTAGTTGTAAAATATTTCCCCTGCAAAATGCGAATCCATAGCTCATCTGATTGGTTAAGAAAAGCCCATCCCAATTTCATCAAGTATGAGAGGTTAAGCGCCCTTGTTGATCTTAACCCAAGACCACCTTCTTCTTTCAGTTTACAGATGGTTTCCCATTTAACCAAATGCGTCTTGGGGTTGCCATTTTCAGTACCCCAGACAAAGGCTCTCACTTTCTTGTCGATGATCTCGCAAACCGAAATGGGGAGGACCGCCGTTTGCATGACATAGTTAGGAAGGGCGTTCAATACTGAAACCGCCAAGGTCACCCGGCCAGCTAGAGATAAGCTTCTCGCCTTCCAACCAGAGAGACGCTGATCAATCTTCTCCAATACGTACTTATAAGTATCCTTAGTGACTCTGCCATGGAGAACCGGAACCCCCAAGTAGCGACCCAAGTTACTTGTTTGTTTTATCCCCAACATGTCACTAATTCTTCTCTTCGTTTGTTCCCTGGTATTCTTGGAGAAGAAGACACACGATTTTTCTTTGCTGACTTGCTCCCCCGAAGCATCACAAAAGCGGTTCAAGCAAGCCAAAACTTCCATACTCTGCTTCAGATCCGCTTCAGCAAATAAAACCAGATCATCTGCAAAAAACAAATGGGTGAGTGAGGGCCCATCCTTCGATAAAGAAATCGGTTTCCAAGCCTTCCTTTCAATTGAGTCCTTGATGCAATGATTCAGTCTTTCAATACATAAAGTAAAGAGATAAGGTGAAAGAGGACATCCCTGCCGAAGACCCCTGGTCGGTTGAAAGGAATCTGTGCAACCGCCATTCCAAAGAACCTGGAAACTAGCAGTAGTCACACAAGCCATGACAAGCCGGACAAAATCGTTCAGAAGACCAGCCGCCCCAAGTGTAGCTTCTAGGAATTTCCAATTGATCCTGTCATAGGCTTTAGCCAAATCGATTTTCAAGATCATTTGTCCCTTAGCCCCTGTCTTGCGAGACATAGTGTGCACTACCTCCTGCAAAATGATAATATTATCTGTGATATGCCTCTTAGGGACGAAGCTTGTCTGGTTCTGGTCTACTAGCTGCGGCATGAAATTCTTTAACCGATTGGCCAGACACTTCGCCAAAGCCTTGTAACTGACGTTGCACAATCCAATCGGTCTGAACTGAGCCATCTGCTTCGGAGTCTCCACTTTGGGCAGCAACACCAGCAAAGTATCATTACACAGCTTAATCCGATCAGGGCTCCTGAAGCAGGACACGATTTGCTCATGGAAATCCGCTCCCACTTCCTTCCAGCACTTGTGGTAGAAGGTAGCGTGAAAACCATCCTTCCCAGGTGCCTTCAACCCCCCCATTTCTTTGATTATCTTGTAAGTTTCCTCCAGAGTCGGGCTGTCCGCTAGGTGGGAAGTCATAGCTTCGGTAAGGGCGTTGAAATTTGCCGGAATCTGTTGCTGCCCTATGCAATCATCCAGGTACAAATGAACATAGAACTCCCTTGCCATCAACTTCAACGTCTCTGGATCCTCAATCCAAGTCCCATCCTCTGCTTGAAGCTTCGTTATTCTGTTCTTGCACCGTCGTGTCAAGGCAGCAGTGTGGAAATACCGAGTATTTCTGTCTCCGTTAACAATCTGATTGGCCCTCGACTTCTGTAACCACAACAGTTCCTCCTGCCACAACGTCTGCTCGAGCTCTTCTCGGATCTGTCCCTCGCGTCTTAGAGAAGCTTCGGTTGCCGCCGACTCATTCTGGATTTCCAGCCTAGTAAGTTGTTTGGAGAGTTTTGCTTTCCTCCAGAAAATGTTGCCGAAAACCTCTTTGTTCCAACGCGTAAGATGAGCCTGCAGCTCCTGCAAAGACAGCAAACAATCCCTTCCTCGGGTCCACGAGGCCTCAAGAGTAGAAGAAAAGTCTTTATGAGCTAGCCAGGGCACTAGGAAACGAAAAGGCCTTACCTGCCTCGGGGGAATATGATCGTTGTGACTGCAGATAAGAATAGGCCTATGATCCGAGCGGAGTTTAGGCAAATGGGTAGTTAAAGTGTCGGGGAATTGTCTGATCCACTCCTGGTTACATAAAGCTCTATCTAGCCGTTGGAAAAGCTTTCCATTGCTCCAAGTGAATTTGGGACCCTTGAAGCCTACATCAATCAGGCCGCAATCCCTGATACACGAATTGAAGCTAGCAGTTCGAGAGGGATTATACTTTGCTCCTCCTACTCGCTCGGACGGACAGGTCACCGAGTTGAAGTCACCCGCTAGAAGCCAAGGTCTCATCACGTTCTGCTCAAGGCGGCGCACAGCAGTCCACAGCGGTCGCCTGTCTTGTTCATTCGGCTTGGCATAAACAGCTGTCAAAATGACCGAAACATTATTGCGACCTGTACACAAGAAATGCAGAAATTGCGAATCACGATCAAGCTCAGTGATAGAGAACTCCGCATCCCTCCACAGCACCCATATGCCGCCGGAGAAACCAATAGCATCAACAAGGAAGTGCTTATCAAACCCCATAAGCTTAATAACATCTTCCGCATCCTTGCCACTGATACGTGGCTCCACGATGAAGACAAGATTTGGCTGATGGGCAAACATATATTCCTTAAAGGTCGAGAGAAATTTTGGGTGTTTAGCCCCCCGGCAATTCCAACTAAAAATCTTAAACATGGATAAAAATAAGGGGAGAAAGGGGATTCAGACTTCCCTGACAAGGAGTGGCCGCAACCCAGAGATCAAATACTTGCAGCCGCCGCCGGAGCCATTGCTGTCTCCTGCGGCGCCACAGCCGGAATCTGTCCCTCCTTCGCTTCGCTATGTTGGGGGGTATGGGCTTTCTGACATTTGTTCATCGACCCCTTTGTAATTCGCGTCGCCATCGCCCGGAATTGGAGTCGCTTGCAGCTGGTCCAGGAGTTCTTCCACCGATTTTGGATGGTTCTGAGATTTCTTCTTATGATGCGGTCGTATGCCATCCCGCGCGCTCGAGTTCACGCAGTGGCTCGACTTCGACACCCGAAGGCTATTGCCCTTCTTAATCTTCGCTGGGGAGCTGGCTTCCATTGATTTCTTACTGAAATGTTTCCTGATCGAGAAGCTTTCCCGGGATTCCTTGGCAGGTGACTCCGACGGGGCAACAACGCAAGAGGGGATGAGCTTGTCTGATGCAATAGACCGAGAGTGATCCGGGTCAGCTTCGGTGGGCCTCTTTACAGATTGGTCTTCCATTATTTGGTCTCTACTTGCTGTCCCTGTGGGCTGAGATGAAGAAGCCTGGTTCTCAATAGCTTTGGGCCCAATAATCCGCCAGGCTTGAGAAGGGCCCATTTTTTGCATCTCCTTGGACACTTTATCTATCACCTCCTCACCTTTCCCCTTCTGCGAGATACCCTTACCTTTCTTCAGTTCCCCTTTCTTTTCCGACTTTCCTTTCTTTTCCTTAGCTTCCACGATTTTGTTGCCCCCACTTAGCTCATTCTTCCCCGTAATAGGAGATATTTTACCTTGACCCCCGCTTTTGCCCGTTAGATTGCCTTTGAGAGGCGCCTTGATTGTTCGGGCCTTTCCTTGTTTGTTTGCGAGATTTCCTCTCCACCTGCATCCAAGGACCGTAGCCTGCCGGCGGTTCAGCCGACGAGTTTTCCGGCGGCGACTCCTGATTAATCAGTTGAATTTGTGGCTCAGCCGTCGGCGGCCTTATCAGCGTGGGGCAAGTCGATTCAGTATGTCCGATGTGGCCGCATTCGAAGCAAATCTCCGGTAGATTCTCATACACCACCTGTTGCCAAAAGCCATCGAGCCGAATGCGAGTTTTCAAGGGCTTGTTCATGTCCAGTTCAACGGCAATCCGAGCAAACTTGCCTCGCTCCATATGCTCTGTATGATAATCGAGCTTGACCGTTCTTCCCAACAGATTTCCCAACGCGAAGAGTACCTCCCTATGGTAGAAATGGATCGGAAGCTCTGGTAACTGGACCCAAGCTACCACCGATCGATGGGGTTTATCTGATGTGCGGAAGGTGTGTGACCATTGATGGACAACTAAGTAGTGATCTAAGATCACCCAAGGCCCGCCAGTGAGCGCATTGAGGTAGTCTTTCTCCTCACTGAAATTGACCAGAAAGGTAGAGTTGTTCAGGTCGAGAATCTCCATCTTCCCGCTAGGCTTCCAGTTCCAGCGTAGTTGCGAACACAGGTATTGGTAGGAGATAGTCCGGCCCAGAAGACGAGCTACCAGAGTGCGTTTCCAAGGAATACAGAGGCGTTCCTTAAGCTGTGGTGAAACTTTAAGTTCCGGCTCTCCCTGATAAAGGCCGACCTGCAGGTCGTGTTCACCGATGAATGTCCACGCCTGAGTTTTGGACGGAGATTGCCCCGGTGATCCTGCCAGTGCTGATTTGTAACTCAAGAGGGCCATCCCTTGCGGATTTTGCACTGTCTTGGACGGAGACAAGGAAGGCGAAGGAGGGGGGTCTGGCGGCCGTCCCGAGAGGAGCAGCGCAGCCGCCGGCGTGTTGCAGTTGTTCAGAGGTTCAGAGAGCATTTTCTTTCAATCGAGTATGATTTCCGCTTTCTCATAATTTAAGTATTATCAGTGAAGACATCCGTGGGACCCTACTTGGAGAAATAAATAGGGTTATATTTATATACTTGTAGGTACTTCATACTTGTTTATTACGGCTAGTTTGAGAACTTAGGAACTCGTTGTTATGATATACAATGCTCGTCAATTTTATAATATACATAGATAATAACACTATATAGATGAAAGAATATTGAAAGTCCTTAACTTTCTAACCTGTAATTAAAAAAATTCCATTTTGCTAGACATATTAAAAAAAACTCCCTCGCCATAACTAAGAAGACATTTTATTAACCTAACACACATTATTTTTATTAAGATAAAATTTCTTTGGTCGTAAACTCATTTTATGATATGACTATAATGTGTTAGTTTATTAGCTAGCTATGGAAATGCCACATGTCAATTATGAATTAATTGATAGTTTGATGAATAACTACTCGGTCGGATGTATTGAACCGACGAATTTAAATGTAATATTATATAATTTATTCATAAATGGGACTACACTAAACTCGAATCCTGACTGTGCCACTGCATGATAGCCCAATTTGATTGACGATAAATATACTATTTTTACGATAAGAAAGATAGTATTGTATGCTCAAATTATCCAACATGGGGATTATAGCCAGTGGCGTAGCCATGATTTTATTAAAAGGGTGCTATAAAAAATTTCATATTTTGAAATTATTCTAAGACTATATGAATCGACTCAACTATCAAGATTTCACACTTAATGTCTCCCACCAAATAACCATTCACCATTTCAATTCACTTGATGCGAAAAGCTGGTCAACATTTCAATACATAAAATGTTATCAACTTGTGCATTGACAACTGTCAGTAGCAAATCAAATCAAATTTCACAAGCAAATACATTGATGAGAACTAATTTTCTCTTTTCGACTATATATCGTTAGCATAAGAATTTAATAATTTTCTCTAATAGTTTGCATTTCTTATCCATCTTGATAAACTAGAATGTAGAAATGTAGATATTAGTAGATGAATATATTTTGTTGTGGTTTAATGATAACACATTTGACAATTAATTTTGAAATTAATGAATTAAATATCATTATTAACATACTAATATTATTAATTTTTGGGCTTTTTCTCCAAATCCAAGGAGTGCTATATAACCCCTTGTTTGCCTCTAACTTCGCCCCTGATTACATCTGGTATACGACTACATATACTATCCGAAACGCAACGGCTTGGCGCAGAGGGTGTAGAGGGATGAGATAGCATACCTACCACTAAAAGAGTTGGAAAAATGACACCCCTATTAATTATAGGTTTTTAAGGTAATTAATTTGTCTTGCATTTAATAATCTGTATGAATTGAAAACACATATTAATTACTTTCCTTTTTTCAGTGCACTGGTAGTTGTATCAGTGCAATGGTATTAGTTTACAAGTGCAATGGTAGATGTATAAGTGCAATGGTAGTTCTAAAAAGGCACGTAATTAATATGAGTTCGTATACAGGTGCAATGGTAGTTGTATCAGTGCAATGGTAGTTAAAAAAAGGAATGTAATTAAGATGAGTTTTTAATTTCCAAAGATTATTAAACGCAACGCAAATTTAATAAAAAAATGACTATAATTAATAGGGGTGTCATTTTTCAACCAATTAGAAGGGTTCCAAAAAGGAACGCAATTAATATGAGTTCGTATACAGGTGCAACGGTAGTTGTATCAGTGCAATGGTATTTAAAAAAAAGGAATATAATTAAGATGAGTTTTTAATTTCCAAACATTATTAAACGCAACGCAAATTTAATAAAAAATGACTATAATTGATAGGGGTGTTATTTTTCAACCAATTAGAAGGGTTAGGAAGGTTTCCTCTTTTTTTCTTGAGTGCATGCATGAGATGAGGAGGGGGGAAAGCAAATAAATGAACCGGGCTAGTTCGTAGGTTCAATTGGTAAGAGAAATCCGACCGGTCGAATCGAGGTTTAGCCGCACAAGTCAAGGGTGAGTGACGTACAAGAGCTTTTCCTTTCTGTCTTTACCATCTTCTTCTTTCGTTTGAGCCGGTAAATAAAACGAGATATATAGGTGGATTAGAATACTTTGTACGAACAATTTAGTAATCTTATATTATAATACGTATAATAATAATTATAATTGGCAGAGTGTAGTTTAGGTATTTATTGATTTATTTTGCAAAAACATAGAACAATATCCTAATCGGAATTTTATTTGCAAGTGTGAGTTGTGTGCAATTTGGGGCTTCTTGTGTTTTGTTATGTTGTTTCCTTTAAATTTAATATTTATTACAGACAGGTGACCGTGATTCTCCTATATATCATAGGTACGTAAATATACGGCTAATAAAGCCAAGCAAGTATGAAGTAGAGAATGTGATTGAACATGCATGTATATTGTTCTATCTTGATTATAGATGATGGTGTTTAATCACTTATATAGTTGAGAGATCGGTTCACATGTTTCGTATATATACTTCACGTGGTAATTTATATCTTTGAGCTTTGATTTCATGCAAATATATAATTTGACTTTAATATAATGGATCACAACTAATTCTTGCATTATTCCAAACGTTAAATCTTAAATTATGAAACTTAAAATTATAAACTATAAAACTTAACCCTCATTTTCATAAACGGTAAATTTTTTTAAATCAAAGTAAATTTTGAATGATTTTTCTGCAAATTCAATTCAATAGAAAACTTGAAGTTCAATTCAATAGAAAACAATGATTGACCATTGAGATTGGTCGGAGCACATTGAAGTACATCTAACGATTAGATCACCTGGAATATAGCATTCATTACCCTATATATATGCATGGTAATGATTGTAATGGTTTTTCTCGTGCACCGATGAATGCTACCACATATCCTTAATAAAATATTGTGTAATGATACTATATCTTAATTCTTAATGAGTGAACCCTAGAATCTAATTCTCCAAATCCTAATCCTTAAGACCCAAGATGGTGTCTCTAGTACGATGGATTGGATGTATTTTGACGAATAGCAACATTTGATTAATGTTACTAATTAAACTGATCTTAGATACATGATTTAGAGAAATATATATGTTTCATATTAACTCATTAGCATCTATCTATCTATATCTATCTATCTATCTATCTATCTATCTATATCTATCTATATCTATCTATACTATATATTATGGCAATTCAAAAGTAACTTCTTGCCAAATAAGCACTTGGAGAATTCACAAGATACCAAGGTGGACAACTTTTTTGAAAACAAAAAATTCATTATTGATCTATTTATGGAGCTATCTCTCTCTTCTTTTAATATTTCTACTCATTTTTACCAAAAATCAATAATAAATTACATTTTTATGAGAATGTAAACAAACACACAAAAGTATACTATTTTTGTCAATTAAAAAAAATATAAAGATGGAAATAGATAGTGACTATATCGAATTTTTTTAAATGAAAAGTATATGATTAAATCTTATCAAGTAATTTTCTACTCATTTTCACCAAAACTTAATAATAAGTTACATTTTGACAAAAATTTAAAAAGTACATATATATAATAATATTTGTATCAATTAAACAAAATATTACAATAGAAACATTGAAAACAAATGATTAAAAAATCTCTATTGAGGTCATAAGTCGAATGCTAAGTAATTTCTTTTCAGATTTGGAGTTATTGTCAAAATTATTACATCAAAGTTTTCAAAATGACTTAAGTATGATTTTTTATGAGTTTTGACTTTATACCTAGGATGAGACACAACATCACTTAAAAAACAACACGTGTGAAGGTTAAGAAAATCTTCGTTGAGGATATACGATAAACATCGCGTTTCATCAACCACTAACCTTAGCATTGATCAAATAAGGGTTGAAATAATTTATTTAATAATTGATGTCTTGGTAGACAAATCTAGATTTGAGGATTGATGCAATAAATAAACATAAGTGTGTTAGTTGAGATATCTTAACAAAAAAACTTTTCTAGCTACAAGAATCTAAATTGAGGTATTGTGTTAAAATAAAGAATCTTTAATAAGGATGAGTTTAGTAAGGCAATTGTAAGAAAACATTAGGGTCGTTTGCTTCGTGGATTTGAAAACTGAAGGTTTTAAGAAAACTTGGATTTTGTAAAAGCATGGATATATGAGGGGTTTGGATATAAGAAAACTTCTTATTCATCATGATTAAGTGAAAACATATATTCATGTTCTACCTTCAGTTTCTCAAACTAAGAAGAATCAGGTGTGCAATACTTTATAATCTGTCTTAGGGTTCATATTAAAATATTCACTCTAGATCATATTAATTGAACAATCTCTATTGAGGTCATAAGTCGAATGCTAAGTAATTTCTTTTCAGATTTGGAGTTATTGTCAAAATTATTACATCAAAGTTTTCAAAATGACTTAAGTATGATTTTTTATGAGTTTTGACTTTATACTTAGGATGAGACACAACATCACTTAAAAAACAACACGTGTGAAGATTAAGAAAATCTTCGTTGAGGATATACGATAAACATCGCATTTCATCAACCACTAACCTTAGCATTGATCAAATAAGGGTTGAA